AAGATATACAAATGGCAAATAAAACTATGAAAAGATGCTCCAAATCATATGTCATCAGGGAAATGCAAGTAAAAATGAGATCGCACTACACACTTATTAGAATGGCCAAAATCTGGAACAATGACAACACCAAATATTGGTGGGCATATGGGGCAACAGGCATTCTCATCCACTGCCAGTGAGAGTGCAAAATGGTACGGCCACTTTGGAAGACCGTTTGGCAATTTCTTACAAAACTAAACATATTCTGACCATAAAATCCAGCATCCATGTTACTTAGTATTTGCCCAAAGAATTTGAAAGCTACATCCACACAAAAACCTGTACACGGATGTTTATAGCAGCCTTATTCAAAATGGCCAATACCTGAAAGCAACCAAGATGTCCTTCAGTGGGTGAATGAATAAATAAACTGTGCTACAGCCAGACAATGGAATATTATTCAGTGCTAAAAGAAAAAAGGGTTATCAAGCCATGAAAAGACAGAGGAAATTGAAAATACATCTCATTAAGTGAAAGAAGCCAATCTGAAAAGGCTACAAATTGTACGATTCCAACTATAGTTGACATTTGAACAACACAGGTTTAAATGCACAGGTCTGCTTCTATGCAGATTTTTTTCAATAAATACCATAAATGTATTTTTCACTGTGCGGGGGGAAGAGGGTCCGTGCCTCTAACCCCCGTGTTGTCCAAGGGTGAACTGCACATGACCTTTTGGAGAAGGCAAAACTATGGAGATAGTAAAAAGACCAATGGTTGCCAGGGGTTAGGAGGAGAGAGGAGGCGTAGGGGGAGCACAGGGGATTTTTAAGGCAGTGAAACTAATCTGTAGGGCACTATAATAGAGGATACATGTCATTATACATTGGTCCAAACTCACAGATGTCCAACAACAAGAGTTAACCCTAAGGTAAACTATGGACTGTGGTTGATAAGTGTCAATGTAGGTTCATCGATTGTAACACATGTCCCAATCTCATGGGGGTGCTGATAATGGGGGAGGCTGTGCATGTGTGGGGCGGGGGGTACATGGGAAATCTTTGTACCTTCTGTTCAATCTTGCTGTGAACCTAAGACTGCTCTAAAAAAATAAGGTCTGTTTTTAAAAGGCAGTTAGTGGTTTAGTGGCTCTCCTGTCCTTCCAAAAACAGTTTGACCAGACTGGTGGTTAATCAAACTTAGCCGCTGCTGAATTTGTCCCCAATGGACCCTAAGCTCCTCCAGGGCCAGGAGCATGGACCACCTGTGTTCCTCGGACATCTGGGGCAGCACTCAAACATAATAGGAAATATACAATGTATTGTTTTTAATATTGCCAAATAAATTAAAAAAGGCTCAGCTGAGAAAGGGAAGAGATTCCTTTTCCCCCTGTATTTTTAAAGCAGACTTAATTGACACAATTGGGCAAAGATTTGAATTGAGTCACAGCTCCCCCAAACCGTTCACTTATCCCTACCTAGGCCAAGGCCCCATGGGGCGAGGAAGTCTAATGGGACCATAATGTGCTGCCTTCATGGAAATGGATTTTTACTTCATACCTTGCCACTATGTTTCTTTAAAACTTCCCTTGGACCTATTAAGCCATCTGTGTACACTCTGGAGCAGTTACAATAATAATGCCAAAGTCCCACAGAAATAAGATTTTAAAAATGTTACATAATTACAGTGAACACGCACTAAACACTTCACCTAAGTGAATAACAGGCAGTAAACACTTCACCAAAGTGAAAGGGAAAAAATGGTAAATTTTCTTTACCATTTTAAAGGAAAGGGAAAAATACCAAATGGGGGTTAATTCACATTATGGACTAACAGCCTGTAAACCTTTGTTTGAAAGCAAAGCACAGGAAAAAGCTTTGACAAGAGCTACTTTGCACCATAAAAAATAAATAAACCTCTTTTAAATAATTTGCACGTACCTTTCCCATGTCAAATGGCCAAGTTTCAAACAAAAATTAAAACCACCATCCAGATACAGCCCTTTAAATATGGGCTTTATAATGGAAATAGGAAAAACAGTCTTAGCGAAGGAAATGTTGCTAGGTACTGACAGTAAAGTCGAGTCTACAGTAAATATTTCACAGGCCAGTTCCAGGGCACTTGTTGACAGACGATACTTAGATTCCACTCTCAATCATATGCCTGTGTGTAACGACTGTTATTTTTCACAAGACTTTTCATGTTAACAACTTATTGGTGTTCTGGCGTTGGTCCAAATTGAATAAATATATTTGCCCTCTGAATCCCACAGATTTTCAATTCATTTTTACAGCAAGTCTCCCTTGAACAGCAAGTCAGAAGAGAGCAATTTCACTTGAGCTTACAAAGTGAGAAGTGATTTTTATATATGCTACATGAAGGTTCCCCTGGAATTGTGCACATATGGATTAAGAATATTCCTGTTCTCCAATTGTCCCCTGTGGACGACAACCTGTGTTCAGCTCTCTTTTATTTAGAAACCATCCAACTGATGTGCTCAGAGTGCCCAGGACAGGGGTTGTCTAACCTGGCTGCATGTCAGAATTGTCTGGGGGATTTTCTAGAAAGCTGAGCTTCCTAAACTCTACCTCACACTAAATTAGAATCTCTGGGTGTAGGATTCATGGATTTGGATTTTTCAAAAAAATTTTATTGGGGAACAGCCGTGGTCCTTGGTGACACATTGCTTTCATGCTACAATGGCATAGTTGACTCTTAAGGAGGGCACCGATAACAGTGGCCCATGCGGGGATCAAACCAGCAACCTTGGTGTTATCAGCACCACGCTCTAACCAACTGAGCCAACCGGCCACCCCCGGATTTGGATTTTTATATGTCCCCAGTTGACTCTTAGGAGAGAGCTTTTCAGATGTCACTTGTTAAGAATCCTTTGCTCTTGAACCATGAGTAAGCATGAGCCAGTGTTTCAGTTTATATCCTACCACTAACAAATACCCAGACACCACTAAGCATTACTGAATGATCTGAAAATGCCCCGAGCAAGGAAATCTCACCTAATTCACTCATTCCTAAACTGCAATTTAGGAATCACAAATAGGCAGAAGGAAGCTTAAAGGAAAAATCATTTCAATAATTAAAATTCCATAAATAAAATGAAAGGTTCTTGGAACGTTCCATGAAGTTCCCTCTGTCAGATGCATATTTCATACCCTTCTCTTGCTGTATTCTCTTTAGCCTTCTGCCATGTAAAAAAACCCCACTGATAATTCACTCAGTGCCATTTTGGCCCTGAACTCCTGGATAGTGTATTTTTTAGAAGCAAATGACCAAAAAAACCCCAAAAGTGTCCCAATTCTTAAACTTGTAAAATGGAACTACAGTAAGTCACACGAGTGCAGATTCTGTCAACACTCTTGCACTTATGCCAAGCAAGAAGCTTCCAAGTGGCTATTCTATTCCCTCCTATTTTCTGGGAGAGCCACGTACACTTCTCAATGTTCTCTAAAAGCTGAGGTAAATCTCCAGGGACTTTCCACATCACTCCTACATGTCTCCAAGAGTCACTAGACTTTTGAAAACTGCTGATCATGACACTGATTCAGCCCCTCAGGTAAGAATTTTAGAGATGTTTGGAAGAGGAGTTTAGCCCCTCGGAGTCTAAGAACATCTAGCGAACAATCTGGGATGGCTAGATTCAGCAAGAAGCAAAAGGGGAGCAAGCTCTAATACACCGATCCCCAAAAAGAGGTAACACACCAGGCAGAGAGACAATGTACTCATCAGAGAATCAGTATTGAATTCTCTCAATCCATAACGCCTTAAGGAAAAGTCCTTGGGGGTAAAAGAGAAACAGCTATTAACAATACTGCAAGTAAACATGGGCTAGACATCAGCCATGAATCAAAGTTTAGAAACCTAGTTACTAGTGGACAGAAGGAAATTTTTTCTATATACAAATTTTACTCATTCACTAAAAATATACTGTGGAGATAGCCCAAGTTCTTGCTGAACATGTGAAGACAAGATCCTAATATCTGAACCAAGTCTTCCATCAGTCATGAAGTGGTTTATATTCAAGGACAGCAAAACCAAATAAGTCAAGGCATTGAAAAAAATAATTTCTAGCCTATCTACAATAGTAGATGGAAAACCGGAAGTCAATTATGACTAGCACTAAAAACAGTTAAGACCCATTCAAGGGCAGCATGGAGATTGCTATGTGAAGAAATCCAGCAGTATTTGTAGCTTTCTCTTATGCCCTTGAGGTTGCCTCCAGCTCTAACGCCGAACAACAAAATGTTCAATTGATATTCACTGACAAACAACATAAACACTCTGTAGGTAACTAATAAGAAAAATATGTAAATTTGCCATTTTGATTTTTTTTACAGGTAATAGAAAAGTTGTCAATGTGATTTTTCAGGTAGGAGAAGCAAACATACGCACTTGTCATGACATTTTCAAATACTTTAAGTTATGCAACAAAGCTTTTCCCAGACCCATTAAGCCCCACCGTGCCTGTGCGAGGCAAGTCCTGTGCGAGGGATATAGGCAGCACCCGATCATCTGGGCCGAGGCGCCTATAAACTCTCTTCGGATGGAGTCAATAAAAGAACTCCACCCCATCCCTCTTTCAAAATGAACCTGGGCTTTTAGTGAACAGCAGAGACACACTCCAGGCCTATTTTTTTGTGGTAATATGTGGTTTTTGTAGGTCCAATGATCACGTTGCCTATGCTTACTTATTACAATTACTAAACTCTATAGAAAATAGCATTTTCAAAATATAGCATTTAAAGAGTCCTTTTTGTACAGTTCCTCCCCCCGAAGCCCTGCTTTAATAGAGAACAGTGTGAGACAGGCTGTGGAGGCCAAAGCCGGGGAATTCCTACGCAGCCGCCCCTCACGCAGGGGATGCCTGTGCCCACAACGGCCCCCACAGCCTGCTTCTGAGACAGCGGCGTGATGCTGCGTGAACAGCCTGACACAGTGGGTCTGGCTTTTATGATGCAAATTTCCACTTTAAACTCAGAGGTAATTACAGTATTTTAACGTAC